CTTTATATATTTGACCCGTCAAATCAGACTGTTATTTATTAATAGACATTCCTTTTTTTTAAAAAAAAAAAAAAAGATCTAGGGTATCTTACAGATCTACATACAGTAAATAAGGAAGAAAAAAATTACCACTGCCTTTTCTTTCAGCTGAAATGACTCTTCATGTTAATATTACCCAGTAGGGCCCATATTTTGGACATGAAATGATTTGAAAATTCTTCTATTATGATATATTTTTCTACGTGTACAATGCAGTACCCTCAACTGTGTGCCTTCAGATTCCTGAGGAAGTCTGAGTAGAGGTACAGATACCAGATCTTTTCTTCAGGCTGCTCCTTGGATCCATCTGGTCCCTGTTTCCTTCAGACTGACATGTAGGAAGCTGCATCAGATCACCCTTTCTGATCCCTTTCTGTCTTATTCATACCCTGCTTGTCAGTCTCCATCTTGGATCCGGGCATTACCCAGCTTGTCTTGACTGGCTAGCTTCCAGATTATTCCTGGTCAGTGTCCCAGATTTGCCAAAGTCTTTTTGGATTCTAGGCCTGTCTTTTGAGGCACAAGCCCAATTTCCCAGTGTTGTTCTTCTGCTAATGTATAGAGCGTGCTCTTTATTTATGTATCCCAATTAGTAATGGAGACATGAAGGGTGTTTATCTACCCTTCAGACCACTTGCGCCCTGAGGGAAAAAAAAAACTCTGGGTTCTTCTCTTAAAGCTTTTAGTACGCACTTCTCCTTTTCCTACTAAATTGTTTCCATATGGAACAACCAGTTTGAGGGATGATTTCACCTCTTGTCATCTTTCCTATGTCTTCCTTGAAGTACGCAAATTCCTCCTGGCTGTTCTTGCGGTCCCTGCCCCTCCCCCCTCTTAGAGATCCCTAAGTCATGTCAAATTATTTTATTTTTCAAATCACCAAACTTGCCTTTCAGCCTTAGATTGTCAGCCAGTTCTTTGCAGCTAATGAGGATCCAGTTATGAAAGGCAGCCGCTCTAGCACCTCCTTCTTCTGCCCGCCCACCCCCCCCAGACATTTAGGATGACTTCTCGCTGGTGAGAGTCAGCTGTTGCGGCTGTCTCCTGGGAATGGCATGTGTTAAGAACTTTGTGGTTTGTATCTGAGCAGTTAGGGCTCCCTTGCAGGGGGAAGGAAAGAGGAGGGGACTTTTGTAGCTGTAAAAGGAAGTCTGATGCCTGGTCCCCTGAAGCTCATCACTGGGGTGGAGGAGGCTGTGCTTAGGTTGCTTAGATGGGGAATGGCAAGAATTTATGGGACCGCTGCTCCCAGGGGATGACTATCCCTCCAGAGGGTTCCACAGTAGCGGGGAATTCATTATGTTTCAGGATCACTTGTTAGTGTCTCATTTATACCATCTGCATGAAAATAAACAGAAGCTGCAAGCCGAGCCTATCATTCCTAGAACAGAGTGGGGTCTGGCTTCCATCTCCCAGACACGGCTCAGGCGGGGACGTGTACAGAAGGCTCTGGAGTATTTTTCTTAGGGTCTACCGTGGGAATGAGTAGCCTAGAGGTGAAATTATGGCCTGATAATGAGCATCTAAACTTCCAGAGACAGATCCTTACCCTTCTCACTGAATTTTTGCTCTGCCGTGAATTTGTTGTCATTTGTTTGTTTAATTCAACATGGATTTATTGATTACCCTCTCTCTGCCAGAAGCTATGTTAGGCACTGGGGTCACGCGGGGAGAACCACTAGCCATGGTGCTGCTTGTCCCCTTGGGGCTTTCCGTACAGGGAGGTTCCAGGGCTTCTGGCCAAGGAGGGGCTTTTGCCCTGTGTTTTTTTCCCTGCCCTATGCCTTGTGGGTGGTCCCGCCATCCAGTTAAGGGGTCCGCCTCCAGCTGAAGCTCTGCACAGAGCCTTTTCCAGACTCACAGCACTGTCTGTTTTGACTTGTGAAGCATCCTTTTTTGGGTCACTGACTTCTTGTAGCATTCATCCCAGTCTGTGAGAGGGGATTTTGTAGGTTTTTGCCTCTGCTGAGAAGGAGATGTGAGTTTCCTGTGTCCATTTGGCTCAGGTAGCCTGAATTCACCTTTCTGCTTGCTGAGTGGCACCGTTTCGCCATGGTGGCCCCTGCACTGGCCCCTTTCTTGTTCTCCCTGGAGGAGGGCTGGGGAGACTGGCAGCTCATCCATGGTGCCCTGGAGTGGCCTCCATGTCTGGCAGCCTGCAGCCCTCTCTGTGTTGCAGCCCCGGCTCCAGAGGGTGGAGAGGGTGACTCCCTCGCAGACCCTGGACTCTCATCCAGCTCAGGTTTAGGGAGAGTCACAGTACATTGGACAACACATGTGAGAGGTTGCAGAGATCATTTCTGTGTCTGGTTCTTGCTTAGGCTGCCATGGGGTTGTTTAGGGAACCTCATGCATGGGGGAATTATTCCTAAACCTGGATCTCTGAGAGACAGAGTGGAGAACGGTCTACCGTCTGTAACAGAACGACCCTCCCTATGGGCCTGCGTCTAAAAGTCCACCGTTAGAGGGTCATTCCTCCTGCCGAAGGCATTAACACCTCTGGGACCCCCCCCCCCCCGAGAGAAAACAATCAGGACAGAATGAGAAAGCACTGGTCCTAAACTCCAGCGACCAGGAGTCTAGCCCTGGCTCTGTCCCTTTCTGGCTGTGTGACATTGGGCAAGCCATTTAACCTCTCTGAGCTTCAGTTTCCTGATGTGCAAAATGAGGATGTGGTTTAGATGAGCCCAGGGCCTCCTTCAGCTCTAAAACTATAACTTGAGCTGAATGAGTCTCAGATTCTTTTCTCAGATGGCCCAGGGGACACGGGGCACTAAGGAGGGGGAGAAAGGACGTAGGGTGGGAAGGAGGGGCTGAGAGGGCCAGGTGTCGAGGGGTAGGGTAGGTGGAGCACAGATGAAAGAGCCTGGAAGCACCAAATACAAGAATCAGTGCAAAGGAGGGAGCTGTGTGCAAATGGCTTTCTGGACAGATGCAGCAGGTGTACTGAGGATGAAATGACAGGCCCATTGTTCACATGCACCTTTAGTTAAGCAAATGAGGTACAGTGGAAGTCTTTGTGGTTTGAGGGGGCAAATTCTCACATCCTTCTCCACTCGGGGTTCAAAACTATTGACAAATAGACACAGGAGCTGGAGAAGGAACCATATTTCCCCTTTCTTTACTGGCAAAGCTGGACCTGAGGGAGGATGCAGCTTGGACTTGTGGCCAAAATGGCCTTCCTAGTATGTCCCTCTCTTGACATCTATACTTTGGAACCTGAAGGCAAGGGACTGTAGGTTGTCCTCTAGGGCCACTCCTTGGGAGAAAGAGCCCAAGACAGCATGGCCACATGAGTGCTTCAACTCTGCCTAACAGGGAAGTGTAGTCTATGGAGGTCTGGTTTCCACTGTCTCCCCACATACACCCTTACATGGAGGAGGCAGAGAAAGATGGAAGAATAGATCAAAGCTTTCCCCTAGTGTTTCTAATACAGTGGAGGTTTTCATGTTATGGCCTTGTGCAGAAAGGTGGGAAAGTGGAGAAAATGATTTCCTTTATGGGACTGGAGTTCAAGAGCAGTTTTGTACTAAAACTCTACTTAAAAGCCTGCTTAAAAACCAAGAGTGCACAAATGATTTCCATATTCCCACAACCTGGCTCATAATATGTGGTCAATAACTGGATGGATGGATGGATGGCTTGATTAACGGGTAGATGGATGGATGGATGGGTGGATGGTTGGATGGATGGATGGATGGATGGATGGATGGCAGGTGGGCAGAAGGCCTTTAAGGAACCAGATAAATCTGGTTTTACTGGCAGACAAGCTTTCTTCACTGTCATTTGTACCTTGAAATGACTATTTCTTACCCATGAGCTTCCTCCAGGAAAAAAGAAGGAATAAGAGTTCCCTGTCTGATTTACATCCTTCCTTTATGCCTGGGTCTGTCTTTCTTTACAATCCTTCTGTGTCTGGCAGAGCTAGAATATGTGTTTGCTTTGAGAATGAAGAGACTATGGAGGAATTTTCTGGTAGTGGGTTTCACTGGGAAATCACATGCTGATTAATTCCATTGCCTTTGCCTCAGTCTCATCCTCCCAGATACTAGATGCACACACACGTACACACATGCATGAACACACACTGCACACTCACCTTTAATTTAGATTTGCTTCATCTTGTATTCAGGGTGCCCAACAAGTACCCAGAGTAGGATGTGTGATGAGGGGAGGCACCATGCCAAACCAAAAACATCTCCCTCTTAAACAGGTGCAAAGGTGCTTGAGATTCCCCAGTTATGATTCATTCTCTTGGAGGCAGTATGTTGCAGTTTAAATCTCAGCTCCAACTGTTTTAACTGTGTACAACCTTGAGCAAGTTATCTTTCCAAGCCCCAGCTTTCTTTTCTGTGTAATGGGCTCTGACTCAGTCTTTTGGGGCTGATAGAAGGATTACTGCTTAGCACATAGCACCTGCTGAATAAATGTTGTCTGTGTTTGGATTTGGAGTCCCTGGGTGGTGCAAATTGTTAACGGCTCAGCTGCTAACCAAAAGGTTGGCGGTTCGACTCCACTCAGAGGCATCTTGGAAGAAAGTCCTGACAATCTACTTGCAAAAAATCAGCCATTGAGAACCCTATGCAGCACAGTTTTACTCTGACGCACATGGGATCTCCACGAGTTGGAGTCGACTTGATGACAACTGTTTTCTTTTCTTTTTTTTTTTTTTTTATTATGACTGAGTTAAGCATTTGAGCATTGCCACCTTCCTGCTTTCCTTAAAAAGAAGCAAACCCTCCGACAGTAACCTTGGTGTGAATTATTTCATCAACTTGTCTTCTATAACAGGAGAGACTTCGGGGCAGGAAGAGCATGTGGGTAGGTGGGTGGGGGACTTCAGGAGCACTTTGGTGAGAACAGGGACTAGGACTTGGCAGCCATGGGGTCTTAAGCCCCTCATGAAGCCCCTTACTTGCCTGACCCAGTTGTTCCTGCTCTTCTCCCCCCAACTCCAGGCTGGACTGCTGCTCCTCCTGCTATGATGCCTGGGCAGATCCCGGACCCTTCTGTGACTGCAGGCTCTCTGCCAGGGCTCGGCCCCTTGACTGGCCTTCCCAGCTCAGCTCTGACCACGGAGGAGCTGAAATACGCCGACATCCGCAACATCGGGGCCATGATCGCCCCCTTGCACTTCCTGGAGGTGAAACTGGGCAAGAGGCCCCAACCCGTGAAAAGTGAGGTGAGCCAGCCACGTTAGCTCAGGCAGAAGTGGGGGGCAGGAGGCACCCCAGCTCTGGCCCTAACTCACTGTGTGATCTAAGCCTCACTGCCCAAAGTGTGGTCTGAGGACCAGCCACATCTGAGTCACCCTTCAGCCTGTTAAAAATGCAGAGTCTCGGGCCCCACATCAGACCTTCTGAAAGAGAATCTGCATTTTTAGATTCCCCTGGGGGTTCATGGATACATTCAAGTTTGAGAAGCACTGGGCTAGGGCAGGCTGCTTAACCTGTCTCTGGCTCTTCAAGGGGCAAGGGAAGGGTGATAATAATAATAATAATAATATCGTGGCCATCTCTCTGGGGTGTTGGGAGGATCAGGGGAGATAGTGGAAATGTACACGTGCTTTGAAAAGTATGGAAATGCCAATATTGGGTTATTTGTAAAAATTATATTGCTAGTGACATCATCACCTCTACCTGTGTGGCCCCATCCTGGAGCTGACCAAGGGAATTTGGAAGAAGGGTGGTGTGGCCTCCCTTCCCGAGCAGAGCTGGTCCTAGGCTCAGTCACCCAGCATGATGTTCCTTAGATGGGGTTTGCCAAGGACCCACACACAGAGCACCTCCCCCACCCCAGCCCCTTGCAGCTGCAGCTGTCATGAGCCTTACTTGCAGAAGAGCAGCTTTTCTCTGGGGACTGGCGAGAAGTCCCCAGCGTGGCTCAGCATTGGTGCTGTCCACACCCGCAGCCACTTTCCCAATGCTGGCAATTTGTCCAAAGGCTCCCCTTCCCCATGAGACCCAACAGAGCCATTTCTTCAGAGGCCTGATAGAGTAGCTGCCCACTTGGCAGGAAGAAGGACCAGTGGTGGGAGGTGGAAAGGTGGCTGGGGTGGGGAGGGCAGAGGAAGCAGCTGAGCGTTAGGCATTCAGCAGCTCTGCCAGGGTGGGAGTAGTCACAGGCAAAGGGGTGTCTGGATGGGGGCTAGTCCTTCAGGATGAAGCAGGGAAGGCTGGACGTCTCCAAGGCAGGGACTCTGTTTTTAAATTGTGGTAGATATATATGTAACAAAACATTTGACATTTCAACCATCTTCACATGTACAGCCTAGTGACATTAATTATGTTTATCATGTTGTTCAACCATCACCCTTATCCATTCCTAGATTTTTCCATCACCCTTAACAGAAGCTCAGCTCAGCATCCCCGAAGCATTGAGTCTTCCTTTTCCTCTCTGAGGGAGGGACTCTTGAGTAGAGAAAGGTGACTGGGTACCGTAAGGGGAAAGTTGGGTGTATTATACAACTACTGCTCTACCCACACTCCCCCCTTGGGTACCCTTAAGACTGGAAAGAAGGGTATGGGCTACTGGGGGCTTGGCCAGGGGCTGCAAACTGGCCATTTGCGGTTTCGATCTAGCTCTCAGATGTGTTTTGTTTGGCCTACGTAGTGTTTTAAAAGAAACTTGAACGAACATTTCAGTTGAAAATGTGGATTTTAATCTTTGGTTAAAAAATTGAAAGCTCTGGTGACTTGGTGCCCTGTTCTGGCGTGACAACGGCTGAATGGAATGGAGAGGGCTGCTTCACTCACGTTTTTCCTCTTTGCAGTTTGCCACAAGCCTCTCCACCTCCCTGGTATCTCCACTGTGCTGACACTGTTGTTTTTTCGTTTGTTACGCCCAGCTGCCTTCATCAACCTTAACTGCCTGGCCCCTGCTGTAGACCTTTGAGCTCAAGACACCCGGATTAGATGCACTGTAGGTGCTCACTAAAGACTGTTGATTACAAGATGAGAGTGACTGTAATTATGTTCTTCTGAATTGATTTTGTAAATCAACCTGCTGTTGATAGCACTTCCCGGCTTATTTAGTGTTCTGTGTTCTTTATGAAGGACCCTTGTTTGTCGGCCCTCTGGCTTCCACCTCGTAGCCCCATAACTTGAAAGCATCCATTTCTAGGTCGTTCCCCAGTATAAATGCCATTGAAAGCCACTAGTTGAACAGCTTCATTGGGGCGCTGAGGCCCTGGGGTTGATGAAGAGCTAAGCGCCTTGGGGTGGGGAGGGGACTGGCCCAGCTGGGATTTGCCTGGGGGGTGGGCAGAATTACCCTGTCTCCCTTCTGCAAAAGGTGCTGGAGATGCTTTCCTTTTTGGGGGAAAGGCCTTTATTTAGGTTGAGTATTTTTACATTTCACAGACACCCCAAATTGGTGGCATATGCCCTGTACCTGACAGTGACATCCTGTCCTCGCAGGCACCCGCAAACGCTGCCCATCCAGGCGATGAAAATCACAGGCCGTTTTTCGGGCCTATTTGCATGGCTTCTCCCTCGCTGTCAGCCTGCAGCTTTGTGGGGGTGGAGAGGCAGGTCGGAGCAGAACTGGGGAGATTGTACTGGCAGCCCTGCAATGGGACCAGACCTCGAAATGGCTCCTAGGTTGGACCCAAGGAGGGGCATGCTAATTTTTGGAGCAATTAAAAAATAAAGGGGATGGGAGAGACACCTGCAGCTGAAGAACCTCATGTTCCAAAGGTTTATTTGCATGTGGCAAACTGCCTTTAGTGGATTTAAATTGGCGTTGGAGACTAGTAAAAGTCTACTGAATAATAATAAGCTACTAAACCAAAAAAAGCAAATCCCCATTGCTCCCGAGTTGGTTCCTACTCATAGTGACCCTGTAGCACAGGGTAGAATTGCCCCATAGGGTTTCCGAGGAGCGGCTGGTGGATTTGAACTGCCGACCTTTAGTTAGCAGCCAAACTCTTAACCACTGCACCACCAGGGCTCCAGTAAGCTACCAGCCCACATTTATCAAATACTATGTGTCAGGCCCTGTGCTAAGTACTTAACATGCCTGATCTCATTTACTCCTTACACCCTCCTGTGACCAGGTAAGCCCCCTTTTAGAGAAGAGAAATTTGAGGTGTAGGGAGGCAAGTTAGGTCACTCACTCCGCTGCTGCGGAGTGTCAGGGCTGAGGCCTGAATGATGATGGCGATGGTGATGCTGTTGTTGGGTGACGTCAAGTCAATTTCAACTCATAGCGACCCCATGTGACAGAGTACAACTGCCCGGTAGGGGTTTCTAGGCTGTAATCTTTATGAGAGCAGATTGCCAGGTTTTTCTTCTGTGGAATGGCTGGGTGGGTTTGAACAGCCATCCTTTCCGTTAGCAGCCGGACGCTTCACTGCTGCGCCATCAGGGCTCCTTATGATGATGCTAGTAATAGCCACATCTCCCTTGCACTGAGCTATATACACCAAGCATGCTGCTAAGCAGTCTTCACGAATTGGCTCATTTAACTCTCACAAGAACCCTATGAAGTAATTCTTATTGCTGTTGTTGTTATTTCCACATTATGGATGAAGTCAACAAGGGTTAGAGAGGTCCAAAGTTACATAGCTGGGACATGAGCCCAGGCAGTCTGACTGGAGAGCCAAAGCTTTAACCTTATGCTATGATGCCTCCTATGCCTTCTGTGTCCTTTCCAGGCTTCTAATCGGAGTTCTACTGGCCTGAGGAGGCCAGATGAGCCTGGCCCCAGAACACTCAATCATTTTGATGACATAGCCCAGATTAGTGCTGAGCCCTGCAGTTCTGCAGCCTCAGAACTCCCAGGCCCCAGAGAGAACAAGGCCCAGCCGCTGCTACAGGCAGCTCTGTCTGAGCTGAGGCCAGCAGTCTCCTAGGCCACGTCCAAATGCATGAAACCGTTTGGTAAAAGATAATTGGAGGAATTAAGTTAAACAACAGGTTTGTAAATTATAAAGTGTTTTGTGCTGACATTGTTATTATTATATGGTTAACACATAATGTTAAACTATCTTAGTGCCAACTGCTTGCCTGAAGTCCATTTGTTCAACAGATATTTGTTGAGCACCGACTCTGTGCCAATCACTGTGCCAGGCACTGAGAATTGAACCATGAACAAAGTAGACAAAGTCTCCCCTCTCCTGGAGCTTGTATTGTATTTGGGGCCAGGGAGGGCATCCGAAAACAAGCAAATTAGCATCCATAGCTGGTGCAAACAGTTAACTGCTTGGCTGCTAACTGAAAGACTGGAGGTTCAAGTCTACCCAGACATACTTCAGAAGAAAGGCCTGGTGATCTACTTCCAAAAAATCCGCCATTAACAACCCTGTGGAGCACAGTTCTACTCTGACACACATAGGGGCGCCATGAGTCAGGGTCGACTGGATGGCAACTTTTTTTTTTTTAATATATAATATAAAATGTCAGGAAGTGATCAGTACCATGAAGAAAAATTAAGCAGACCAACGGATGAAGGGTGCCAAGATTGCTCGTTTCGATGGTTGGTCAGGGAATCTGGGGACATTATATCCTGGGTTATGGGATTTTTAGAGCTGTTGCTTCTTTCTTGCCCTTTTGCAATTCTTTTTTTCCAGTATCACTTTTCAAGGGAACTTTCTGCTCTGACTTTCTCTAGAACATTCCTACCTTCGCTTTTCATTCTGCAGCCCCTTACAGCTGGGCTCCTCAGCCAGCCAGTCCCCACTGGCCAGCATACGTGGCCCTTCCCCTGTAATCTCCAAGTGGGCTGCTGCGGCTGCAGGGGCCACACCCCTCCTCTGGGCCAGGAATGCATTTTCAGTAGGAGGGGATGGAAGCCAGAAGCTCCAAGATGTTCATCCCTATTTAGCCTGAGCACAAAAATTGCTCACGTACACACATCAGACACTCGTTTACAGGGGTGGATTAACCAGTAAACAAGTCATGCACGGGCTGACAGTAAGCAAGGTGTGCACAGGCTTAATTGTGTTTACTTACTAATCTATAGTGCACAGTTTCACATGAATTTCACCCCACCACAACCCATGTGGAATTGTGCACTGCAGATTAGTATGTAAGCACCAGTAAGCCGGTGCATACCTTGCTTATTGGGTGATCTGTCCCAGCTCACTTAACCACTTGGTCGACGGGGCCCTCCTCCTCTGCTCCCCTCCGCAGTGCTTTAGAGAGGACTCAAGACTTCAGGGGAGGTTGGAGTGGGTGACCT